CTCGTCCCTGAGACGGGGCTCTTCCGGGCGGGGCCTGGGGCTTGAGCAGGGAGCCTGCAACCTCCTGTCGTGGTGTCCGTGGCCCGTGGCGCTGTGTGTGGGGGGAGCAGGGGCGGGCCCGCGGCTTGAGCAGGGAGGCTGCAAACTCCTGTGCGGGGGGCAGGGGCGGGCCTGTGGCTCGAGCAGGGAGCCGCATGACCCATCGTGGCAGTGGCCCGTGGCGCTGAGTAGGGGGAAGTCTGGTCATGTCAGTGCCTTCATCCTCCGGCATGGGCTCAGCCCGGCTCCTCGTCCGATTGCTGCTCCCTTGCTGCCACCCAGTGGGGACCGGCAGGAGGACTGCGGGTGATGCAGCAAGGAGCAGACTGGCCAGAGAGCCGCCGAGTTCCTCCCTTAGGAGCGTTCACACTCCGAAGGGGCCGATTAGAGCAGCCCGGTCACTCGGCTACCCCTCCTTTCGCCCAGCGAGCCCTGGATGGAGGCCAGGAACTCGACTTGGATGGGCTCTTCCAGCCTCGATCTGAAGACCTCAAGAGATGGAGAAATCCAGTTCCCTGAGGCTCTACAGCGAATCTTTGGGCTGCTGGGAACAGCTTGCGCCTAATTTCCAAGTGAAATCGGTCCGGCTTCAGTGTCTAGTCACTGGTTCTTGGTCGGCCTCTCTGCTCTAGAGCAAAGATCCCGTTAGTCCCGGGGGTTTTCTGCTGGTGAAGGAACCAGCATCCTGATCCGGTCACCTCGTATCCTCCTTTTGGTCAGCTAAACGGACCGAGCTCTCCTTTCTCGCTCGGAGGCATCTTCTCCAGCTCGCTGGTCACTTGGGTGGCTCTCTTTCGGCCCCCTCTGCAATTTTTCAACATCCTTTGCAGAGCGTGGGCACCAGAACTGGCTGCGCCATTCCCATGCCGTGTTCCGAGGTAAAATCGCCTTCTTGCTCCGGGTCTCTCCTTCCCTTATTGCAGACGGCGCAAGCGTTCCCGGGGCGTTGCGTGTCCACTGCGACCTCCTCCCCCCACATGTCTTTCTCCGTCGCTGCTTTCTAGGACAGTCTCCTGTCTGGAGGCCCTGCCTGCCGTCCTGGCCCTAGGTGTAACTCTGCCTTTGGGTGTGTTCATCACCATCTCGCCAAGGAATCCGGATCCTGCCGGAGGAGTCTCCTCCCCTCCCCTCCCCTCCCCTCGCTATCTAGAACTGGGGCACTCTTGGCGGGCCGGGGGGGGGGGGGTTAAATGCACAAGAGGGGCACTGGAAAGGGAAGCCCGGGCGGGGTTCTCGCGTAACTAGCGCAAGGTCTCTCGCTCGTTCTGCTGAAGCTTCTCGCACAGGCTGTTCCCGGGCGGGACAGACCTCTGGCCTGCTCCAGGGCGGCAGCGTCTGGGTTCCTAGGACTTGTCGAGTTGGGGCCCCACCGCACCAGGCACTGTACAGACAGCGACCGTGACACAGCCCCTACCCCACCGGGGAGACCCCTGGCTTCAGGAAGCCGCCTTACAGTTGGGGGTTGGGTGCCCAGTGGCTGGACCGCTTGTACCTGCTGCCCTGACCCTGCTCAGGGTTACAGCGATCACCAAGAGCTGAGCGCCCAAGGCTGCTGTGGGCATTGAGCATGGCTGCAGTGGGGGCTTTGTTGGGTCTGAGCGGCACAGGCGTAGGTGTCCTGGCTCGGGGCACGAACCCCACAGCGTCAAGCTGAACATGAGAACGGCCAGACTGGGTCAGACCAACGGTCCATCCGGCCCAGCGTCCTGTCTGCCCACAGTGGCCAATGCCAGGTTCCTCAGAGGGAGGGAACCCAACAGGGAATTCTCACTTGATCCCCACCCTGTCACCCACCTCCAGAGAAACAGAGGGTAGGGACACCGTTCCTACCCAGCCTGGCTAATAGATTCATGGAGGTTGGGTCCATCAATGGCTATCTAGCTCTTTTTTGAACCCTGTTAAAGTCCTGGCCTTTACCACATCCTCTGGCGAGGAGTTCCACAGGTTGACTGTGCGCTGAGTGAAGAAAAACTTCCTTGTGTTTGTTTGAAACATGCTGCCTATTCATTTCATTTGGTGACCCCTAGTTCTTATATTGTGGGAATAAGTAAATCACTTTTCTTTATTCACTTTTTCCACACCAGTTATGATTTTATAGACCTCTATCATATCCCCCTTAGTCTCCTCTTTTCAATCATCCCAGCCAGGGCTTTGTCAAGCCAGCACTTAGAAACCTCTAGGGATGGAGATTTCACCCCCTCCCTAGGTAGATCTTTTTTTGAGATGAAGCGACCATCTGTATGCAGTATTCAAGGTGTGGGCGTCCTATGGTTTTGTAGAGAACTGGGATTTCTTTAAAACCCCGTGTTTTGTCCGTAAAGAAGAGGAGGAAACTGGAATTAAATGCAGAGCCCTTGATGAAGGCACACCGACCTGGAGAGGGAACAGTGGGGGAGGGCACAGAAGGGGGTCCTGGCATGGATACCCGGGGTGCCCCATGGAAGCAAGGATTGCAGTCTCTAACTGCTGCCCTGGGGTCTGTGTGCAACAGGCCTAAAGCTCACCAGACTGTCGCTCTCTCTGCAGGATGAACCAGGCCCCCACGGTGGGGTTTGAAGCCGACGTAGGGGGCAGGACGACCCATCACTTCATGTACCCGGAGAGTGCCAAGAACCTGCCTGCCAACGTCAGCTTCGTGCTGGTGCCCTTCAAAGCCCTGGACCTGCTGTGGATCGCGAGCGCCCTGTCCACGGGGCAGATCCGCTTGTGAGTAGAAAGGCTCCTCTGTGCCGCCACGGGCTGGCGCCGCTTGGGGAGCACAGAGCCCGTCTGGGCAGCTGGCTCGGGCAGGATGTCTGCGTGGGCTGGGGGCGTGGGCCCCAGAGTGAACGGGAGCCGTTCCCAAGGAGGCCAGGAGGGAAGGGGTCGCGGCCTGGCCCGAGGAGCCAGGTATTCGGAAGGGCACCTCCTCCTAAGGCTGTCCCGTGGCACCACTGCCACTGATTGGCAGGGACAATGGAGGGCCACGTCGCCTCTCTGGGCCTCTTTCCCCATCTGTGGCGGGGGATCTGTCTGTCTCCCTCCCCAGCAGGGCCCAGGGGCTAGGCAAG